AAGTGGGTTTAAGTTCAGGGTTCTTTCCACAACAGCTCTAAACCTTCTCTGGATGACATGGAAGCGAGTGAATAAAGCTTCATTTATATACTCTCATAACTTAGCATGGCCTGTCCAAGTGTTGTAGTGATGTAAAGATAAAACAGGGAATGTTAAATATTTTCCTTTTTGAAACAAAGTCCATGACAAATGGATTAAGGCAGTGATGAAAATGTGGTTGATTAAATGACAACAGGAGTATGAAAAGAGACTTTCCCCAAATTTGTCTAATGTGTTTGCGCAGAAACAAAGGGAGGAAGATGCTCTATGTTAAATTAGCTAACAGACGACTTTGAAGATTTTTTTCCTATAGAAAAAAACATGTTTAACCCTATACTGCAGTTCTCCTAACTTCCGCTGCATGCATTCTGCATTTCCTCTTTACATGTGCTCTTCCTTACTTTTATGGCGAATGCATTTTTAAACATAGTCTCTGGGATGGTTGTTGCCATTTGTCAGTTTTGATAATTTTTAATGATATTTTCATTTATTCCCTTTTGCTAGCTGGATTGCCTTTTGCAATTCTTACTTCAAGGCATACCCCCTTCCAACGAGGAGTATTCTGTAATGATGAATCCATCAAGTACCCTTACAAAGAAGACACCATACCTTATGCGTTATTAGGTGGAATAATCATTCCATTCAGTATTATCGTTGTAAGTTAAATCCACTTTTCCAAGTTTATAACTTTTGAGCACTGAACGTAATTTTGTGTTCGTTTGTTAATGATTAAATATATAAACCTCTGCAATTTTTTTTTTTTAGCTGTAATGGAAGGCCTAGACTACTTAATGAGACCCTGTCTCATTAACAAACATACACAAAATAGGGCAGTGGATCTGGGAGAAGTTAGGGGAAGTAGTGGAGGATGAATATTAACAAAATATATTGTATGGAATTCTCAAAGAATTAAAAAAATATTTGTTAAAAACACACACACCAAACAATAACAATCCAAACAAACAATTAGACATTTTTAAAAGATTGTTAACTTAAAATGTAAATATTTTGCCGGGGTGTGGTGGTGCATGCCTTTGATCCCAGCACTTGGGAGGCAGAGGCAGGCAGATATCTGTGAGTTCAAGGCCAGCCTGGTCTACATAGTGAGTTCCAGAACAGTTGGGGCTACAGGGAGACCCTGTCTCAAAAAGACCAAAAAAAAAAAAAAAAAAAGTAAATATTTTAAAAAGAGTCCTCGTAGTTGCAACTAGTAGCTGATGTCAGACAAGATTCATGTATTCAAATAAAAAAAGCTGGAAATTTATCTTTCTTTCAATTGTCTGTCAATGAAAAGGTTGCACAAGTGACACAGTTGACTCCATTACAAAGTGGAGTGTACAGTAGAACTGGGGGCCTTTGCTGGGTGCTGCAAGGGTTGTGTAACTTGTGTAGCCTTCACAATCAATGTGAGTCCGGATTTCCTAAAAGAACACATGATTTAAGGTACTGCAAAGGTACTGTTTCCTGAACTGGCAAGATGGCTCAGCAGTTCCAATGTGGGTGCTTCCAAGGAAGACTTAAGCTTGATCTTTGAGACCCATGTGGTAGAAGGAAAGAACTGACCCCTCACCAGTTGTGTTTTGACCTTCACAAGCATACACACACACACACACACACACACACACACACACACACTGCCCCATAAATAAACAAATAATTATCAAACAAAGTTTTTTTTAAAGTAGTATTTTCCTATCAGTTCTTGTTCTTGTATCAGTGTCAGCAAGGACAAACTTTGTCTGGGCAGCAGTTTCATGTACTAATGTAAAATCGTTCCCATTTATTCATTAACTCACTTTGTTTTAGGCAATCTTTGATTAGATTTGTATATGTTCATTTTTATTTATTAGAAAGTAACTCATTAAAAATAGTCATTGATTCAGATTTACTATCAAGCCTTTGACATGACATCCATAACTCTGTGAGTGATGGAGAACCACAAGTGAGGTAGCATTTTAGAAAACAAGGGAAAAATTCAATAAAGAGGAAATGCTCAGTTGAGGTCAAATCCCAGTGAGAAGTTACAGCAAATGGAGTTAATATAAATCTGTTTAATCCAAAGATACACTTTTGGCTTTTGAAAAAGAATCAGATGAATAAAGGAATGGAAGCAGGAAGAGCTGTTTGAGAGGGAAAGGAAGATGTAGAAATGTACCAGTGATTTTGGACTCTTACGGGCTTTCTGGCCCTGAATGAAAGAAAGCTATAAAGACAGTGTAAGGACATACCCTGTTTGCAGGGGACATAGGGAGCTGGTGAGAGCACACGATGAGCCTTAGGCCTAAACAGCCATTTAGGCTGTTTAGTTACCTTTTATCTTTATAAGGATTCTGCTTTATTCCCCTAAACATTCTCTTTAATATTTTATCATAGCCTTGCTGTCTAAGAAAATGAACATGAGCACTATTTTCAGTTCTAGGAATAATTAGGCCACAGTTGTCCTAGGTTTAGACTTGGCTGAAGATTAAGAATAGGAATAAATGTATCAAAGAGCAGGATAAAGTATTAAAATGAATTTAAGAATGATTGTCTTGTGAAGATAAAATGGACAGACACATCTCTACCTTTAATTTAGAAAAGTTGATTTAGAACTTTTCTTTCAACAGTTTCCTTTAAAGAGGAGAGTGTTTACATCAATTTTTAAAAATGAGATGGAACTGAAGAGATGGCTCAGTGGTTAAGAGCACTGGCTGCAGAGGACCAGGGGTCAGTTCTTAGCACCCACATGGTGGCTAACAATTACTCCAGTTGCAGGGGATCTGACACCCTCTTCTGACCCCCGTGGTTATTGCACGTACATACATGCAGGCAAAACACTCTTACATATAAAATAAAAATAAACAGTGAAGTAAAACTTGCTAGCTTTAGAGTCTTTCTAATATCCCAGTGTAAATTTCAGCATATACTTCTGCAGATCAGCTGGAAATCTGCCCAGTGCTCTGAAAATCAGAAAACTGGCTTTCTTCCATAAATGGCAGGAACAGGATTTGGGTGGCTGTAACCAGAGATGAGCATGACTAGGAAACCTTAGCACCTGTTTCTGATGAAATTGTTGAGTGCTTGAAAACAGCTGACAGCTGAGATGTGGAAGCTTCCACTGCCAAAATTGTGGTTGGTTAATATACTTGGTATATTTTCTGCTATCAAAGATCAATTTCATAATAATATGTTAGAAAAATCTGTTCTAGCTGTTAATCTATTGGGAATTACTGGGACCCCCTTAACGACTCAAGGAGGCTATACTTTAAAACAGGGCCACTGAAAGTTGTTAAGGATACCCCTAAGCAAAACAGCAAAGGTGGGATGGCCCTAGAAGTACAGTTTCCCTCTCCTGAGGCCTGTTCTCAGAAATGATGAATTCATTCACATGAGGACTATATTTTTGTGGGCCTTAAAGATGTGTTTCAGGTGGTTTGGCTTTTACTCCAGGTAGGTACTTCAATTAGAATGTATTGACCACCTATTTGTTTTAGGCTCCTGTGTATATACTAGCTTTCTACTCACCAGGTGAGAAATGGTCCCTGCTTTACAGAGCTCATAGTCTAGTTGTCAAAGTCATAACATTCTGATATGGAATTCTAGGAGCATTTGAGCCAGATGAGGAAAGAATTTCTGGCATCAGATTCTTGAAATTTTGCCCAAAAGCAGCCATTCATTTCACCTGTGCTGAGGCTAACCACGAAGACAGTTAAGCTTCCCTAATTGCAAATGTTTGAATGCTTTGTAAAATTGTTTATGGGGGCTAGAGAGATGACTCAGCAGTTAAAAGCACTGGCTTCTCTTACAGAGGACCTAGGTTCAGTTCCTAGCACCCACATGGCAGCTAACAACCATCTTTAACTCCAGTTCCAGGGAACCCAATGCTGCCTTCTGACCTCCATGGGCATTGCATGATACGGGTACACTTATAAACATGTCACCAAAACAGTCATACACATTAAAAAATTTTTTTTAAACCCTGTTTATGTAAGTTTAAGATGAAGCAGAGAAGCAAGTGGCTATCTCAAGTGAAACTTTGTTAAGTCTCTCCACCTCCCTCCCACCCACAAATTAGCAAGCCTACTCTTCCTCAAGTGTTTGTCTAGATGTCAGGTGCACAGAATGTATCCTATTGTATTATTTAATCAGCAAATGTTTGTTCTTTGAATTTCTCACCCTATTGGTGGATACCTTGTTATGCCTTAAAAGCTCATTGTGTGTGCTATGTGGCCAGTGGAACATAGACACTGCTAAAGTAGTTCATGACATACAGGAAGACTTTAACTCCAGTTTCATAAGTCAGTAAAAAATAGAGGGAAAGAATAACTTGAAGTGTTTCCTTGGGGAAGGAGGAGTACCAAATACTAGTTTGGTTTAGTAAGACTCTGTAAGGGAACCTGGCTTTCTAAGCCTCTGGAAGGTGGGACTGGAGACCTTGGCAGCTAAACCTCTGCCTCTTGGCTCCAGTCTCAGATCCCTGCTTTATCTTTTTTTATTCTTTAAACATGTTTTATGCTTTTTAATATGATGGGTGCCTTTGATGCAAAATATTTGAGAAAAACGAAGGCTGCTAGATTTTTAAAAAGTGTTTATATGTGGGGGATTCTGATGGCAGAAGTTGGTGTTTGAATAAGCCACAGTTTTTATCTTCTGTCTGCCTGTTAAAGCTCTGTTTATGTGAATGCAAGAAGGGAAATAGGCCCCATTAGTAGTAGTAGTAGTAGTAGTAGTAGTAGTAGTAGTAGCAGCAGCACACATTGCTTTTGGCTCAACCATGGCTTTGTAGGAAGTACCTATAGGTGACTGTGTACTTTTTGTTAGTTTGTTTAGAATTAGGTGTTCTAAATTGAGTATTTTTTAAAAAAAGGTCGGGGGGTGCTTTTAAAACAAAAATATTTTGTAGTTTACTGTTTACTTCTCTATTTTTTGTTTAAAGTTTCTATTTGTTATTTTAATATGCTATTTTTCTCTTTGTTTTTCAGATAATTATTGGAGAAACTCTGTCTGTTTACTTTAACCTTTTGCACTCAAATTCCTTTGTCACTAATAACTATATAGCTACTATGTACAAGGCTATCGGAACCTTTTTGTTTGGTGCTGCTGCTAGTCAGTCCCTGACTGACATTGCCAAGTATTCTGTAGGCAGACTGCGGCCTCACTTCTTGGCTGTTTGTGACCCAGACTGGTCAAAAATCAACTGCAGTGATGGTTATATTGAAAACTTCATATGTCAAGGGAGTGCACAGAAAATCAGAGAAGGCAGGTGAGTGTTAAACCTGTACTGCTTGTGTTATCGTGAGTGTCGGTCCTTGGCTACAGGGTTTCAGTGACGAGGAACCATCCACCAGTGTACTGAGTGGAGCTAGTACACTCAAAAGAATTGAAACTGGGAAATCATGTGTCGTCCTAGTCCTCTCCTCCAGTGTTAACCAAGACTTTTTATACATTCAGGAGCATTTTACTAAAACTTTTTTTTCCCCAGTGTATAAGAATATAAAATGAACCTTAAAGATCATTTAGGCCAAGGTCAGTAAATCTCCTTTTAAAATGCCAGACTCAGGACTGGAGAGATCGCTTAGTGGGTAAATGACATTCCTTGACTTACAGTAGAGTTATATCCTGACAAACTTATTATAAGTTGAAAATGTAAGTAAAAAATACATTCAATATACCTACCTCCCCAAATATCCTATCTTAGCAATGAAGAACACTGGACTCTAGTGTAGATGGTTTTCTATCTTGGCTAACTGGCAACTGCTACTCGCTACTAATCTGTAGGATCACAGAATTCTGTCCTACTGAAAAGATGAAAATTCAAAGCATAGTTTCTACCAAATGAACATTGTTTTCACGTCATAGTAAAGTGAAAAGAAATTGTAAGTTAAACCATTGCAACTTGAAAAGTCTGTATACATTAGCTGAAACTACCTTTTAAAATAGCTTTATTGATACATGATTCACATACATGAAATTTACCCATCTTAAGTTTTTGAATAATATTATCATTACTTTAAAAGTTTGCTTCTGGTGATAGAGAGATGGCTCAGTGGTTAAGAGCATTGGGTGCTCCTCTAGAGGACCCAGGTTCAGTTCCTACCACCCACATGGTAGATAAGAATGGCCCTTAACTCCAGGTCTAGGGGATCTCATGCCCTCTTTTGGTCTTGATGGGCACCAGGCATACACATGGTATACTTACCTACATACAGGCAAAATGCTCATACACATAAAATGAAAATAAATTGTTTGCTTCTGTGCAATTTTAGACAATGTGCATTTTCATCTATATCCCTTGAATGGACTTTTTTCTTACAGTTTTATGTTTTCTGTAATATTGTATAGGAGTGATTATACAGAGAGGAGTCTGCCTGCCTGCCTGGTTTTACTTATCATGTTGGTTTTGTGATTCATTCATGTTGTTATTGTTCTTTTTCTTATTGCTTGAGATATATGAGATTATATGGCTATAGCACAGCTTATGCATCTAGCCATCTGAAAGTTGATGGATGTTTGGGTTATTTCTGATTTGGGGGCTATTAAAAATAAAGTTGCTATGGGCTGGAGAGATAGCTCAGCAGTTAAGAGCACTGACTGCTTGAAAAGTACCTGGGTTTGATTCCCAGTACCCACATGGTGGGTAACAACTGTCCGTAACTCCAGTTCCAGGGGATCCGATGCCCTCTTCTGACCTCCACAGGCATTGCACGACACGGGGTACACTTAAACACATTCGGGCACACTCATGCACATAAAATAAATGAAATAAATAAAAATATTAAAAAGTAAAGCTGGTATAAACATTTTATGAAGCTGATGCCCTTTTATTTTCCTTGAAAAGATGCCTAACAGTAGAAATGCTGGGTCATACAACAGGTGTGTCAGTACCTTTCCAAGAAGCCAATAAGTGTCACAGTGGTAGTGCCATTTTGCATTCTTCACAGGAATGTGTGAGAGTCCTGGTTATTTCCCATCTTTGCCATCGTTTCTTATTAGTCAGTCTTTCTTATTATAGCAGATTCATAGCACTTTGTCCATGGTTGCTGGGCCTCCTGTGTTTTAGGGACATGTTATATTCAAATTATTTTATTCTTCCTTTGTTCCCTCTAAAGGCTCATGGTCATCTTATAATACAAAATACATTTAGTCCATCTCCAAGAGTTCATAAAGTCTTAGCAGTTTCAACATTGTTTGGAAGTGTAAGTCTAGTTAGGTATGGTGGCACATGCCCATAGTCCCAGCACTTAGGAGGCTAAGGCAGGAAGATTGTGAGTTTGAGTTCCACCTAGGCTACATATTGAGACCCTATCTTATCCCCACCCACTTGGAAGAAAGTCTTAACTTCAGAGATTCAGAAGACTCCTGAACCAACCACCATAAAGCACATAGGAAGACAAAGCTTTCTCTCAGCCCAGGAATTTAAGAAAGTCATTATGGTGGTAAGAAGTTACCTAAAATTTAGAAAATGATTTCTTTTTCAGTGCTGGGGATATAACCCAGCACCTGCTAGACAAATGTTTATCACCATGCCACATCCCCAACACCTGATTACATTTTTAACCCAAGTGCACCTGTTTCTACATTGATATGTGAAATTGTCTACTTAAAGTCCTATATTTGAAGGGTCTGGGGATATAGCTCAGAGGTAGAGCACTTGCCTAGTGTGTGCATGAGTCTAGTGTGCGTAAGGCCTTGTGTTTGATTCCCAGCATGGAATGGAGCTGCATAAGGAAAGACTGGGCACATTAAATAGCATTTTAAAAGCCTTATGAACATCTGTAGAACTCAAATTGCAGAGCTGTATATAGTAAATGTAATTATTACTTATAGTTTTCTTTTAAAATATTTTATTATTTTTTATTTTATGAGTGTATTGGCTACATGTATGTAAGTGCATCCATGTTGTGCAAGGCAGTGGATTGCCTTGGAACTGGAGTTGTGGATAGTTGGTAGCTGTCATGTGGGTGCTAGGAATCGAACCTGGGTCCTCTGCAAGAGCAACCAGTACTTTTAACTGCTGAGCCATCTCTCCAGCTCCCAATATAGTTTTCTTTTATCTTCTGAGACAGGATCTCTAGCCCAGGATGGTTTTGAAATTTTGGCATAGCTCAGTGTGACTTTGAACTTCTGATCCTCCTGCCTCTCCCTGTTGGGATTACAAGTGTGAGGCACAAGTATTATTTGTAGTTTTCAATAAGAAGACTGATTCCTATGGCTCTGGAATTCTGAAGCACACAGACACACACACACACAGAAAATACAAAATATAGAAATTAACTTCCTAGAGAAAGGTGATGACTGGCAGTGTTTCCAGATGAGTCAGATGCTTTCTTCTCAGAGCTGGTTATCACAGGTCCGTAACTGGCTTTGTCTTGCTGCCCTGTTGTGGAAGAGAGTTTGGCTACTGCACACTTTCCTATTCCTTTTCTTTTGAACTTTAAAATTCAGAAAGCCAAAAAATGTACAAAATTTTCAGTGTAAATGTTATCTGTAGGGTAGTATTATAGTGTAATATACTCTTTTTATTTACCTCCATAGCCTACTTCCACAAAATTTTTAACTATAAAATTATATGGCTTAGCTGGGGTGGCACACGCCTTTAATCCCAGCACTCGGGAGGCAGAGGCAGGGGGATCTCTGTGAGTTCAAGGCCAGCCTGGTCTACATAGTGAGTTCCAGGACAGCTGGGGCTACAGGGAGACCCTGTCTCAAAAAGACCAAAAAAAAAAAAATTATATGGCTTGACATTGAGGAGAACGGACATAAGCACCCGAGATGAGTCATGATTGTTGACAGTATAAATGAGTCAGTTACATGTTAGGATGAGAATATCTTACAATTTTGGTTTGGGATTTTTATTTACTTATTTTTCCTGTTCTTTATCTTAGTGTTTATTCCCAGCCCCCTTTCTGAATGTTTGCATGTTTTTGGGTTGTATCTGCCATTAATGACAAAACTTTTAGGAGGCTTCAGCTGTGATGGTCTTGAGGTCTTAGAAATAAGAAGTGACAAAATAAATGAACTTTAATGGAATACTTACTAATTGAAAGAAACATCAGTCTTCTATTCACTGTTTAAAATGAATACAACAGAATTTTAAATACGTTGCTATTGGTGCAGCACCAAAACATGGAATTATTAAGCGTACCACTGCTTCTAAGCATGGTGACACACACATGTAATCCCAGCACTGAGGAAACCAAGGTGGATGATTGAGTTCCAGGCCAGCCTGAGCTACAGAGCACAAACCCTGTGTTGTTTTGAAAGCCTCTTATGCCAATGAGAATACCATTATTCTTTATTTGAGGGAAAACCCAAAACAAAAGTAGTGAGCTCATAGTTCAGAACTGTAGCTCCCTTCCTAGTTAAAATTCTCTTTAGACAAATGCCTCTCGAACTTTAGTGGTTGACTAGAGTCATCTGATGGGTGTGTTATACAGATTGCTAGGCTACATCTTCAGGTGTGGATCTGCAAGGTTTAGAATGGAGCCTGAGAATCTGTGTTTCAAACAAGTGTTCAGATGCTGATGATGACCTCAGGAGTCCTTGGGAACCAATATTTTTTAATCTGGTTTATGGGTACAGGATATGTGTGTGTACACACACACACACACACACACACACACACACACACACATAGTATTTACCCTGGGAGATAGGAAAATTGCAGATCATGGTAGTACAGTGTAGAGTCTATTGGTTGCTTTAAGACATTTACTTTTTTCATTTTAAATTATGCTTTTTGTTTGTTTGTTTTTGTGGTACTGAGGATGGAACCCAGAATCTTGCAGATGCTAGGCAAATACTTTACCACTGAGCTACACCCCTATCCCTAAATTATGTGTATTTAAGTATGTGTTTGGTGTAAATTTTGAATGACTAATTTCCAGTTCTATTAGTCAGACTTCAGTACGAAGTTATTTTTGTTTGGATTATAGTATTGTCTAGAGGTTCAATTGTAATGTATATTATTGAATGTTAGAAATCATTTTTATTTTAAATATTTTTTTGAATTTTATTATTTTGGATGTGTATGCCTATGTACCATACTGTACATGTGGAGGTCAGAGGACAACTTGTGGGAGTCAGTTCTCTTCCACCATATAGGTTCTCAGGTTTGGCAGCAAGCACCCTTACTCACTGAGCCATCTCAATGGTCCAGTTTTTCTTTATGAAATGAAACTCACATAAAGGTAAATAATAATGAAGTCTGAGGATATGGCATACAATAGTGCAAACCTCTTACAAGTAGGCTAGCTGCCAGGC